GTTAGTCCCATGGAGCCTCGAGGACTCATTTACAAGAGAGACCTGAATTTTTTTTTACAAAGCGTGAGGAAAACGGTGGACAACAACGACAACAATAGACAATCATAAAAGAGGCGTACACATATTTTTTAACAAGTTAAAATAAAATGGCAACCAAAACGACAATCAAAAGGAAAAGTAGCAAAACAATCAACTAGATTTTAAGGCGGTGTAGAAAACTAAAAACAGGAACATGTCTGCATTGGTTTTTGCAGGAACTTAACCGATGTTTGAAGCCACTTAGAGAGGTCAAGGTTGAGAGCTTCAGATCTTTCGATGGCGCCGCTGTGCATGGCCTGCCCTCCACCTCTGTCTGCCATGATTGTGTTTTTTCTGTTTTTTTTTTCATTTTTCATCTACGACATCAACTCACTGCTGGTTTATGAACGTCATCAACTCCTAAATCTCCGACTATCTGCCACCAGTCTCGCCTTGTTAGATCATAATGATCGTAACTCTGGACCCCCTCTTGGACCCCCACCTCTGCTTGAAGACGTTCCTGTTTACCTCCGCCGTGGTATCCTGCCCGCTCCAAGACATCGCTCCAGGCGCCGTGGAAAACAGGCCGGCCGTCTTGTGCGGATCAAATCCTGGCGAGCTGCTGCTGCAGCTTCCTCTTCAAGCGAGGACCACATCTTAAATCACCTGTCCTGGTGCTGCGCTGATCCACCTGAGTCGTTCCTGGTCCCACGGGTCGGGTCGCGCTTCCACAGCGGACCTGTTTGCTGCACCTGGGCTTCCGGTCGTCGGAGTCGCGGGTCGAACTCCACAAATCCAAGACCGCTGGTCTTAACTTCATGGACAACTTCTCCTGCTGTGATTCCTACAAGGATTGCACTGATAAACGCCAGATCTCTGGCTAATAAAACGTTCATTTTGAAGGACTTTTTCTCCTCCACCAGACTTCCTCTGCGTGACTGACACGTGGCTCTCCTGTGGTGAGTTCATGGCCCTGTCAGAAATTTTACCACAGGACTGTTCTTACTTTAATGATCCAAGAATATCTGGTAAAGGTGGTGGATTATTGACTATTTTCAAAAAACTTTGGAGCTGCAAACTGGTACAGATACCAGCTAATTTTTTGAGCTTCGAACTGCTGTGTTTTGAGGTGGGCCGTTCAAATCCTGTTTTTTCTGCTGTGTTATACAGACCACCCAAATATAATAAGGATTTCATTGCTGAACTCTGACCTTTTAACCAAGAACTTGCTCAGATATGATCGGATTTTAATTGTGGGGGATTTTAATATACACATCTGTTACCCTGGAAAGCCGCTGATTCTGGAGTTTTTAGATCTGATCCAGTCTCTGAACTTTGTACAGAACGTCGTA